TTCCCAATTGAATTTTACAAGTGTCACCCTATTTGATTAATAAATAAGAATATTATGATAAAACTAAAGTTGCGAGAAACTCGATTGCAGCACTAATTTAAGCTTTTGTGGGTACAAAATTATAGATACGATGATACAGATAATGATAATAATATAATAAGACGGATGTATATCACATTGTGATATATCATTAATAATTTTTGTATCAAATGACCCGTGTTGGTTGGCAACATTCACCCTACGCCGCGTGCTCGATTTTTGCATAATATTATTCACAATCTGGTCCATGCGCATATTATATACAATTATTATACATGTGGCAGTAGCTCGTCGCTTATTATCAAAAGACATACAAAACAAGCTCAGTTTTCCACTACATTAAACGCCGATGACGCGCGCCGCGCCCTTCGATCGCATCCCCGGCAACCCCAACAACCCCGAAGCACCATTTATACCACAGCATCATCCCCGACCCCGGGGGAACGTTTTTCGTGCACAACGTCAGACGTACGCGCTATATTACCGTCGTTACATTATTATTACGACTCGCGAATTATGTTCTAAGTTATTGTTGGGAGGAATACATACATATAATATACAACAGCGTGTCCCCTAGCTCGTATATGTGCCAATGCGCATATCAGTATGATGTTTATAATGACATCAAGTAAAACGATAAAAATGGTTAATATGTGCAGACGTGCAGTAGTGGTGGATGAATCGTTTCAGAGTCCAAAATGGCCGTTGAATACAGCAGTATAATAATATTGTGCCCATAGTGTAATTTCGGTTACGATACAGAAAAATCATAAGCTTAAATAATTTCAGAAGAACATGAAAAGGTTCTGATTTGGAAAAAAGTTTTTAATCGACACAGGTCAGAGACTTTGAATTAAAAATACACTCTAAATCAGTATGCATAACAATTCCAAAAATAATAATTTGAATAAATAGTTATATCAATCGACTGTTAAAAAATATCTTACTGATCTATTTTTATTTTGTATTTATGATTATACGGGAATTGGCTTTTTTTCTAGGACGTTGTGTTATATATTGCATCGCGGAGAAATAGTATTTATATATTATGCACAGAATAATTCCATTTTATTCCTGTACACACAATGGGATTAATAAACAAACGTATCTGCTCACATAGGTTTATCCCGTTTTTATAATGTATAATTCAACAAGCCTATACATGCGTGGATGGCCCACGAATACAACTATATAGGTATTAACGGTCCAGCCAATTTACTTAATACATAGGGCATATATATTGTGAAAATGTGGAAATACATACATTATTACTGGTGTGGTTTAATTATCGAAAAATTGTAATATAATATATAAGGTATTTACGATACATAAAGATATGGTATTGGAACTGGTCGGATGAGTGGGTGGTATGTATAAATTTTACATATTGTACAACAATCGGTATACCTGTAGGTCTGTCTCCCATTAACAACCTATAAAATACCAAAAAAGTGGCAAAACTTTTGATAGCGCATAGCAGTATAGCTATATAATATAATATTATTTTAATGTAACTACTAAACCGTTGGCGTGGCGGTAATAAATATAAAACACATTTGAAATAAAAACACCAATTCGCATTGTCGATGTGCACGCGAGTCATAAATTCTATTCATATAAAATAATTATTATTACAGTATCATATTATTATATGCACAGCACACGTATGAGAGCATATATATGTACATAAATTATACGTTTAATATATACATAGATATACGGACCAACGAAAATTAGTGCCAAAATAACGCGCGTTGTGCCGCCGCTGGTGGAGTATTCGATTCCGGTCGTGTTTTGTTAAACAATATTATATAATAGTAATAAAACATTAATACATGATATATAATATGAGCGGGGGAGGGAGGCTCTATATCAGTGCAGTGTGGCGATTGTTTTAAATATAACATCCATTGTTTGTGGATTAATATTGTGTTTCGAGCATGTGTGAAGTCCTAACTATATATATATTATTATATAGTTCATATAGTATATAGGTACATAGTCTATGCACAATAATTATAAAGTTTATAATATTTGATATGATTTTATCGTTTCTATCTGCAGCTATAACTTTATAGCATGTGCGTTACCGAGATAAATCCTCGTTAAAAGCGGTTGGAATGTATAATTTTATTATACGGATTTCGTCGTGCATTATTAAAATATTTACCTATACCTACGTCTATAATACAAGTACCTATGTGCGTAAAAACATTACGTGTAAAACGCAACACAAATTGACGCACAATATAATACTATACATTATATACGGTCGTGGCCGTTCGTCCTTTGGGAGTGAGCGAGATAAATCGTTTCGCGTTAATAAAACGCCGTTTGGTGCTGTCGAGTGCGTAAAAAAAAATTTAACGACGCCTCTTATTATTATAATTTGCCCTCGCGAGATGACTACCGTTTTGGGGTGCATATATATGGTACGCGCCTCAGCCATTGGTCGAAACGGTCCCAGAAGGGCACTCAAAATATATCCCCCTCGTTACGCACGCGTATATATATATATACTCATAAGTAGGTAAGCGTCCCCTCCGCGGGCCGAAAAGAATAACAACTAATTTACACGAGTGTTATTTTATACGCCATCGTATTGTGTATAACTGTATAAGACAATCCAATTGGATTACGCTCAAAAGGGGTGATGGTTATAGCCTTATGGGTTAGGGAGTTTGTATTTTTTTTTTTGGTCCGTTCGACTTTTTTGTTTGTAATGGATGTGCGTACGGGGTGTTTACTATAATATACATTCAAAAGATATGAAAACGTACATATAGTATACAATAACTACGATATATACCTATATAAATAATAACTAAAAATATTGTTTAATATGGGTGATATTATAAATATAATATTGATCGAGTCAATAGCCTATATTTCAGGGTAATATCTATATTTATACCTATTTACTCGTGACAAAAAAAAGTTGAACAAAAAATCGGTTAGTGTATACCATATAATATTATAATATTGCCTTTAAACGCTGTATATATATATATAAGAGTAATGTTTAATCATCATCAACGAACTAGAGGTCTGACCTCAATTGCAGATAATCAAATGCATAGTTAATAATTTCGTTGTGTTTCTTTTTTTATTATTTTCAGAACGTATTTCTGGCATCCTATAATTACTGCGTTTTGTCAATAGCTATAGCTTATAATACGAAGACACCGTAATAAATATATATATACACATATATAATATATATAGCCGTATAGGAAGACTATGCGATAAACACGCGAGATTAGATAGGTACTTAGAGCATGATAGCATATTATTATATACAATAAATATAAGTAAACATTTAATTAGGCAACAACCATTTGAAATTATATAGTCCACTTTTTTATGATGACATTATATTAAAATGAAAAAATTCTAAAACATTTTGTAACCAATTAGTATAGTTGTATCTCGAGATAAAAAAATCATATACGATTTAATTACAGATGATTGGCCATAATAACGTGGTAATTATATATAATATATATTTATTATTTTATTATTATTATATATGTATTATGGGTCCGTGTAGACGTAACAAGGTTTACTATATATAGCCGGCAAAAATGATTAAAAACGCATTTTCGTTTGGAGAACAATTTTATCTAAACCGTTATTTAACAACGCTGTTTAACACCCTCTTGTCAAACAACAAGTGACGAGAGTGGAAGCGGCACGGCGGCCATTATGATTTCTTTTCATCCCTCCGCGTGATTAGCGAGTACCCGTTTAATCTGACTCCCATAATAATAATATATAATATCCGTCGCATATATTTACAATCCTTTCAAAAGGTTAACTGGAAAACGACGCTGCTGGTATAATGCTATTATATTATATAAATATAATATGTGTGCGTGTGATGTGTGTATGTACGTACGCGGGTAGATGTTTTAATGCCTAAACTTCTAGATGATGTGTTTTTTTCAATATGCATTTTTTTTATTGTGCGTTTTGCTTCATATAAAAAATATTATATTCGCATCGTTGCCGTGTTGACAACAGACAATGATCACTGAAGTCAGAGTGGTATCAAAACATTATCTCCCATTGTACAAGCTTAACGTCAAAAAATAATAATATAACGACTCATGAAATAATTGCAGACGTACGCAATCCGATTAGACACTGCAACAGTGGGTACACAATACACATAATAATATAATGTATTTACGTAACATAAAGATACACTAGGTGCGGGTGGATAAGCCTTCATAATAATAATACGAGTATAGTACACCTTTATTATATTTATATTTAATTAATAATATAAAATAACAGTGTATAGCTGGTATTGTTGTATAGAAAAGAATGTAAATATTTTATTATATTGCAATATAATATATACAATACACAATGTTTAGGTATATTATATGTACCAATATGAATTATGTCAGTGTAATTTTTCGATACAAAATATAAATATTATAAATATGTACCTACATTATATATATCGGCTAATGTTAATTTAATTAGATGAGATTGATAAAAAGGATAAATTATTAAGTGGATAACGGTAAAAATGTTACGATAAAATAAACGTTTGTATCTATATAATAAACAAACTAATAATTATTGAATTGATGATGAGAAATCTAAGTAAATTATTTTTTCTGTTACTAAATAATCTTTATATTTAAATTTAAACAAACAACGTCAAGACACAACACGACGGCTCACCGAAACCAAATTAAAACGTCTACGGTTGTCAGAAAAATAATGTAATATAATTATAACAACGAATAACAAAATTATAATTTAAACAGCGCATCCGTAAGTAAACGAGAGATGGCTCGACCTCGACTTTTGAAAAAAATGTGTGGTATAAATATAGGTACCTATAGGCTGTAATTAAAATAGGTACCTATTAATTAGTAAAAATAAACATATTATATTGAATAGTTTAATATAATATACAAATACATATATATAATGACACTCACCTGTGTTTCGGTTAGACTCAGCGATTGGGCCAACTGTTTTCTTTCGGCGCCAACGACGTAATGGTTTTTCTCAAAAGCATGTTCCAATTTAAGTAGTTGACTGGGGCTGAAAGCAGTCCTTATTCTTTTGGGTTTTCTGAAGGGTTGTAATAAAAATCCTGGTATGTCTGGACCTGTAACAAGGAAATTAAATAAAAACGGTTTAAATTAGTATTCGTAGAAAGAATAAACGAAATCAGTTTGCCGGACGCGTTTATCATAATAATAATATTATTATTATTATGTTATGTGGCAGTGTTGTTTGTTTGTAGGATAGTACGCTTTGCTTTTATAACACCATTTCCCGACGACCAACAGAACACAGTTGCATAAAATTGTTATTAATGGTTGTTAAGATAATCGGATGTCAGGAGCGTATAAGGATTGTGTCACGAAGACGACACGGCATGGGGTCTATACCGAAAATCCTTGCGCCTGATAACATTGTACCCACTCTAATTTGAAAGCCAACAGTGATAAAATATTCAACAGCGGTGTCAAATAAATTTATTTTCGAAACTCGTTTGGAATATATTATTATAACGAGACAGGGGCCTACGAGTCCAATATGATATCTCCCCTCCACCCACCACACGCACATATATTATTATATATAAGTACATTAATACGTATATGTGAACGTGCGTGTGTGTGCGTGTGTGTTAACAGCTTCATTAGAATATACAATTGGACAATGCAGAGTTTGTTATATAAATTAAACATAATATATTAGTCGGTGTAGGCGAGACTTCAATAATATTGTCTCGCTATAATATACCAGAAGGCTATATAGTATATATTATACATTTATACAATATTCCAATCGTCGCCCCTCAGTTTTTCTATTAAATTGTTTTTCCTTCCATCCTGCGCTCGGCGACTCCCAATCAAAAATTGGGTAGATACCTAACTATCTTTAAACGTACATATACAATGCAGTCATAGTTGTATATTCATATTTAAGAATCATTTAAAATGCTGAGGCGAGTGTTATTATTTGAGAAGAACAAATACATAATATTGCAATCATTCAATTACTGAAAAAGTATTTCACGTTCACATTGATCGTCTACATAATATTATAATTTTTACTAAATATAATTTATCATATAGAATGGTCAAACCAATAAAGGTCGTAATAAAATGAGGACCGGCCGTAAATCGTGATTCGACAACCAATCATAATATAATACTACAATAGTATCGAAATAAAATATTATCTCATTCGATTTACTCGTTGGTCACAGTGTCACCATCGTTATTAACATTTTATTGCATCGTGTTCATTTGATTTCCATAGAAATTATTGAGAAACCCGTCGGGTTATCACGCTCAAACTGTTTCAACGTATACTCATTATTCACAACACATCGCCCACAATGCTATTACGAATCCTTATACATACTTTAAAAGTATAAAACCAAATTTATATGTGACATATTACAATAGTGTATAATAACGAATATGATATAGATAAAATTGTAAAACAAATACGCGTATAATGTAATTGCACTACTAGCTGCAGTATATGAAACGATACGTAAAAACAAGGTTATACCTATACGAGTTGAAAAATACGGAATAGAGATTATTAAAATTTTGAAACGGTTAATTGAAAATAAACGATATTAATATGAAAATGATACAGACATTAAACGATATTAATATTAGCCGAGTCGTCCGATTAACGGCAATCGGCATTCGAAATAAAAAGGTCGCTTATTGTTCCCAATATAGGCTATTTACCTATTGTTGTGTATTAACAAACACTATTTTTTTAACGTTCACGCAACGTGTCGGCGCGCCGAGTAGGTAGGTAGGTATAGGTACCCACCACGTTGTGTGCACAACAATAAAAATAACGCAAAATCGTAGTAACAATACATATTATACTTTATAACTACGAGTATATAGTACCGTATATACCATGCATACCTATACTTAAAGGCAACAGTTGGTAATCTAAACGTATGTACCCACAGGCTATAGGTAATATGGATTGACCGTTTAACTCGTATTATAATATGGGTACACTGTGCAGGCAGTGCAGAGAATAACTATATACATATATAACACTGTGTGTTTGGAATATTATGACACACGCATGTTATATATATTATAATGTATGTTGTTACATAGTGTGCGTGTGATATACAGAAAATAATTTAAATATATTACAATGTTTTGATGTTGAATATAATATATAGTTTAGGCGGTGGTAATTTTTCAACGCTGTTGATTTTGAATTTTTATTTTACAACGATTTTCACACATGATTTTATCGTTGGTGTGTAAGTCGCACGCAATAAATATTATAATTACAGGAAACAATTTGTTTTTAACCGAAAAATTACACGACGTTTTACAAACCGTGCGCATGCCTCCACCCCATCCCGCCGCAATCGCTAAATCCCGTATTCAAAACTATTATACTCCACCTCGGAAAATTATACGACGGAAACATTATTATACCTACACACACGCGTGCGCGCGGCCGGTCTGGTTCGGACGATTATTACCATAATTATTATATTATTCTCATTTTAGACAAACGCGTCCGGTAATTTAAACGTTAATTGCAGGTTTTTACTGTATTGTAACGAGAAACATATTAGATATATGTATCACGTATTGTTATATATGTGTGCAGTATAATATATATAAAAATGATTATTACTTATTTTTTTTTGTAATGTTATCTGGCTTGGGACTAATAAGAAGAAGCTGTCCGTATATGTAAAAAGGATTTTTTTAAAAACGCTTTTGGGAAGTTTATCATTATTATTATTATTTTGTATCCACCTCTATTGTTCGAAATTAATTGGCACCGCCTCTCCGGACGACGGCGGGACCACCTATCTTCCTACGCTAACGCGCGCGCGCAATACACAGGCACAGAACTATGTATAATATACCTAATGATACATAAACAATAATCGTCATAGATTTATACAGGTGGTCATAGTGTTCTCTTGTAAGGTCTATACAATATAATGATAATATGTTTCGATATCTACTGAAACGACGGCCCTCGCCAATAGAATTTATCATGCCAATTGTAAATCTATCCCATAATAATCAAATAAAACTTCCGAACTCATGTTTGAGTTTGTCACAAAATCTTGTTGAAAAGGGATTATATCCTTAAATCTTTCAAAAATTCGTTTTTTAATTTTGAATAATATTAAAAATTGTAAAACGTGTTAATAATATTGAACTGAAACATCTAATTAAAAAATGTAAGGAAGTCAACTGTTTACGAGTAAACTACATGACGAATTCAAATATGTTTTCAGAAGTTTTATTCGATTACTTTAATATATATATAGGATAATGCGTTCGATTGTATCATGAGATAGGTCTATTTTGGTTGCCCTAAAGTGGTTAGTACCCAAGGCAGTTATACATATTATTATACCCTCATCATCATCATTATAATAAATTATAAAACAATAAAATAATGACACGCGCATTTGGATTTCGGATGCGGTCCGCTGTGGTGCGGTGCGTATAGATATAGGCGGTATACATGAATATCTACATCAACACAATATATAATATAAATAATGTAGGTATAGGTGCAACGTCTGAGCAGTAATTAATAATTACTGGCGCCTGATAACGATATTTCGTCGGGTTGATAAGACAGCTGGACATGTCATCGCGTGTGTACGGCGAGCGGATAAGATCGCGGAGATAATTATACGGTTACACATACACATAATGATATAGGCAGCAATTTTACATACCCACCTATATATTATATCGACGACGAACGCCATCTGTCGGCCGATGAATGCGTAAACCTACTTATAGGCCTCGGGTATAGGTTACCAATATAATAAATATAGTACACGCTTACATATATTATACAGGTATATCGTATATACATTATACATATAAGATATATATATATATATATACATACATTATACATATACATGAATACACTTAATACGTATTTACGTTTTATTATATTGTTTTGACAATGGCAATTTACATTTTGTTTTTCACTTTTGTTCCACTACTAATTTATCGCTGTTAATTAACCGTCACGCCCGCACGGCCGACCCGAAACAACCACGAGACGGCGCAATTAATAACCGCGGGCGGCGCGACGTTAATTTTTTATTTATTCTTTTTTTTTTTAATTCTCCTCTCCGATAATATATACACCACTCCACCTCCGCCACCCCGTACACTGTCCCCCCAGGCCCGATAACGTGTACACATCAGGTATATAGGTATTAAACATAATAATGGGTATATATACCTACATAATATTATATAGCTATATTCAATATTATATAAAAAAGCGGTGCTGCACGAGAATTCCGAAAGCTGACCTATTGTATATTTTGTAAAATAAAACTTGTTAAACACCACCCCTAAGGCGCATTCGTATATCGTATACGTGTATAATTCAGTAGCTCAACCGGTCGAAAACGCGTCAAATTCGGTGGGCAAGACAAATTCTACACTGGAAACCCACGCAAGAAATTCACAAAACCGTGTTATTTCATATTTTTATGTTATTATATATAATATCGTATGTACATAATATACATAATAAATGCAGCGTATTTCCTAATATAATAATAATACTTCACTGATTTTCAGCTGCCGGCAAACAATTATTTTCGTCAACACGATTTTAAACGCGCTCCTACCTACCTGTATAATATACATTATGCGGCCGTACGCTAATAGCCCAGCTGGCTACTGCAAATATAATATAACATAATAGCTGTTAATTTATTCGATAAAAAAAATTTTAAAACAAACTCTACATGTTGTATATAATACAACAATAGGTGTGTTGGAAATCAAGTCAGCTTATATATTAATAATATATTATCTCATATATAATCATATTAAATATAAAACGAAAACGGCGGACAGAGGCAATGAAGGCGTATAAGGCACATATTATTATACTCTGTTGACACACAATAAATACCTGTACAGGTGTAAAATATAAAAATACAATCGATACAATGTATATCATCTGCAACGATCTAACGAATTTATAAATGTGGTTTGCGGCGGTAGTGTATATTACAAGAAAATTGAAAATTAATGCACCGAAACGTTGGCGAAGTATTTACGTAAATATAATTTATAATATTATATT